CATGGATCTTAGTGACAGTAGTTTCACAACCGTTGACACATATGGGCAAGCTGGGGTCAAGCTCAAACCCAACTGGCAACCGGGCTTGGGCAGGCCCTTTGGTCCGTACACGCAGCAGGTCAGCGTCAGTCTGATTCTGGAAAGAAATTGCACTCAGGCGTGGCGGTGGCGGCTCATGCAACAACGAATGCGACAATGTGCCACCAAACTCAAGGTTATCCAAGGAGATTCGAAAGCGAAAAAGTGACTTCCGGTTTGCACGAGTGATTGCAGCGCGCTTGTCTGTCTCTTCACGCACCGTCCGGGTTAGGTTCTCAACAAAAGGCGCAGGGGGCCTACGGAAGTAGAAGTGCCCAATGCCTTGGTGCGCAAGGCACCAGCTTGGAAAGCCATCAGGGAATCCTTTGGCTTTGCAAATAGCATTCCACTCAGACCTAAGCTGGTGCACAATTGTGCTGGGCGTTGAACATCTTTGTGGATGTCAGCACGGACTTTTCCTGCACAAGTCCTACACTCACATAGTTCTTCTTGGTCTGGCTGCGTTCACCCAGGTGGCAGCCTTGTCCTCAGTTCTGTTACCAGGGGCGCGCCGCTCCAAACAAGGCAAACGGGACACGGACAGGACGACAAGTGTGCCACAGCCAGCCAAGGCCCGCACGTACACTTTCCAGTTGAGCTCTTGCATGCGTGTTTGTGCCAAGACAGCGAATCGCGGATGACGTTTGCGAAATGATGGCGTAATGAGCACATGTCTTCGGGTGCGCTTGCCATGCCACTTGCGCAAAAGGTGCAAGAAGCTCTCAAGTCTGCGTGTCTTATTCAAAGGCACGCCCTAACTCCGGACACCTCCTGAGTTGGCTCGTAACTCCCGTACCTGGCCCTGGCGGGCGTGTCACTGATTTTGACGTCCTTAAATTTTCTAGGTTGCAACCGTCCATGCAGCGATTCAGGCATGAGGCTGACCTGGTTTTCACCTAGATGTTGCCGCAGAGACTGATGAGCATCAATGTATGCACTCTCAAAAGCTTCGCCAATCTTCTGGAGCGCTTGGGTCAAGGGTTGCTCCACATTCTGGTCCGCAAGCAAGGAGTCAACCGTTTCTGCACATGCCTGCATTTGCACGCGTTGGTGGTGCTGGAACACGGGCGCTTGCAGGACATCATCTTCCATGGGTTGGGGGAAGCAGAGAATCCTGCGTGTCAGGTCCAATTTGGGGACTTTAAAAAAGGCCACCAACGGATCGTGGTCACTAAAAAGTCCTTTGCGGACAGTGTATGCAGTCTGGTAGAGTTGCCGGAAATGGTGTGAGAAAACCAAAGTATCGTGTCGAGTCGCAGAGCGGCAGGTCGGTGGTAATTCCACTCCCGTCAGCCGGAAATGGTGTTCAAATGTCTCGGAAAAACCCAAGGTCACAAAGTAAGGCCATGCATCTGTATCTTGTACTCGAATGTTCATGTCCCCACCAAGAATCGTTGGGATGTCATGCATTGAAACTAATTGCAAGGCTGCATGCCAAAGACTTTCATTTTTTGCCCTGGCTTGCCGTGTTAACGGTGGCAGGCCATACAGAACAAGTGTCCTGATCGGCATGCGTGCTGTCTGCACGAAGCACTGCATTATGCGGCAAGTTTGATTCCAATGGCCTGGCAAAACGTCCCGAGAGGGACGCACTGGAAGTTTACTCACCAATGCCACCCCGGCAGCAGCACCCCTGAGAATTTCTTGCTGAAAGTTAACTTCACGCTCCCCAGATAACATTCATCCCCGTTTTGTTGAAAGCCCTTGTTTGCAATCTCTGAGCTAAGATCGTTGCTGAAGTCTCGGAGACAAAGGCTACATCAACCCCCAATGAATTAAACTCATCCTCTTTTTGGTAAATGGCAGTTGGGTTCACGGCAGCAACACGAAGCGTGTCGCCGCCATTGCGTCTGGCTCTGGCGGGCATGCTACTTCTTTGCAGCACGGGGTTCTGGACTGTCCGTCATTGCCGCATCACCCTCCTTGTCTGCTCGGGCCTGGTCCCGTGACCGCTTCTGCCTTTCACCAATCAACAGCTCCTTCAACTCATCAAACCGCGTGTCAATCCTGACATTCTGCTTTGACACCGCCTCAGTAATCGACTGCTGGAAGGCTCCCTGGAGTTGCACCACAGCCTTCTCAGCTGCAACGACTCGCCCTGGAACCTCCTGCATGTCTTCGTGGTGCTTGGTACGAAATTCATGGTGATCAGCCTTTTGCTCTTTCAGCGAGGCCTCGATCAGCGCAATCCTATCTTCGAAGACTTGGAACCTGGCTGCAACGGGGGCATCAACCTGACGATCAGCTGGGGCAGCCTTCGGTGGATTGACAGATTTGGCAACGCTCGGCCCACGCATGGGTGTAGCAAAGCTGGCCCATGGGTCGTGGATCGTGAGTGGATCAATATCGCTACGGTCACTGCTGTCAGGTGCGGGAGGTCGTGGGCCCGCAATCTGCACCGGATCACGATTGGCAAGCGGTCGCCTTGCATCAATTGGCTTAATCAGGATTGCACTACCATTGATCGCATAGTGGCCAGGCGGCGGGGGCGCGGACGCACCAATGAGAAACGCCTGTCGTCCCAAAGCCTTGATGACACGGATGGCCCAGCTGTGTGAGGCAGCCCATTTGACAAGCTGCTCGTGGCTTGTGCCGACGGGTACCGGCTCAACTTTGAACATGCACTGGACGCTGACATGTACTGGCAATTGTTTTCCTGGCATAATGGCTTTGCATGCGGGCTCAAACTGATCAGCCGGGACACGGAGGGCAAAGCTAGCCTTTCCTCTGGCCATGCCAACATGTGCCGGAAATTTTGCTGAGGCAATTTCACACTCCAGCCTGTCCTTGAACCAAATGAGGCTCCAGTTGGGGTGACTGTGACCATGGTCACCTTTGGGCACCATGTACACCTTGCAGAATCCCGACTGCTTGAGGAGTCCACTGATGGAGGCTGCGACCCCACACCTGCAAGATTGATGCCTGGTCAGGGATCTCAAATCTGGCAAATGCATTTTTGACAAGCCTCGCGGTGAGGTCGGACCACTCGTGACTCTCAAAGTCATCACTTTCAACTGGCCCAAAAAGTGCCATTGTTTTTAAAGAATACATAGGCTGGTGATCAGCCACTTGGCTTATTTCGGGGAGGGCGTCCACTACCCCCAAACTAATCCCCAGGAGATTGGAAATATGAGGGACAAAACTGCGGCCAAACTAGGTACACCGCCCATAGTAGCCCGCGTAACATCGTGCGTTTTTTGGCTTCGGAGCACCTCGTCGAAGCTGCGATTCCAGGGGTCTTTCCCTCATGTAAAATGCGCCGAGACAGTGGGGAATTTCTTGCGTTCCCGAATCCCACTGGCACGCTGCTTTCAGAAGCTCATTTTTCCAGCCCCCAACTATCGCGTTTCAAGGATTTTCTCCCTCATGTAAAATGGCCGAGACAGTGGGGAATTTCTCGCGTTCCCGAATTACACTGGCACGCTGCTTTCAGAAGCTCATTTTCTTTTCCAAGACCGCATGTTGCTTGGGAATCGCATGGACGGGGGTGAGGGGTCCTTAGTCTGTTCTTCGCCTCAAGGCTAATACCCCAAAACTCTTTGTCGGTTTTTCGGTTGCAAGCAACATACTGGCATGTTCAAGACCGCATGGTGCCTGGGAACCGCATGAACTCTCTTTTCAAACACCGACGGGGGTGAGGGGTCCTTAGTCTGTTCTTCACCCCAAGGCGAATACGCCAAAACTCTTTGTCGGTTTTTCGGTTGCAGGCAACATACTGGCATGTTCAAGACCGCATGTTGCCTGGGAACCGCATGATGAACTCTCTTTTCAAAAGCCGACGCGGGCGAGGGGTCCTTAGTCTGTTCTTGCTAACACCCCAAAACTCTTTGTCGGTTTTTCGGTTGCAGGCAACATACTGGCATGTTCAAGACCGCATGTTGCCTGGGAACCGCATGATGAACTCTCTTTTCAAAAACCGACGGGGGTGAGGGGTCCTTAGTCCTGCGCAGGCATGAGACGTAGGCCAGACAAGCGACGAGACAAGACCCAACCACGCCGATGGAAGCAGAGCAAGGGTGCAGCAAATGACGACTCCAGGATGCACACCAGGTGGACCACAAGCAAGGAACGTAGTAGCCTAAAGCCGAAAAGTCAAGCGCAAACCTATGTGGGCATACAATGACAGCAGACACAAAGGACGAGATGTCCGCTGGTTGGGACGCGACGTCCAGAAAAGAGTCCAAGTAAGGCAGCCAGACAGTGAAGAAAGGACCCAGCACCGAGTGTGTGGAGAAGCAATGCGAGACGCCAGCCAAACGCAGCAAGATGATGAGGGCAAACGCTAGACGAACGTCTTCTGACACCATGGCTTGGGCACAAGAAGCTAAAGTAAAACAAGACAGCTCAGCACACTAACAAAGAACGCCACACACCCCACAGAAACAGGAAATAAAGAAGTTTTTGTCAAGCAAACTCAAAGAAGTGACGCAGTCATCCCCCCCCCCCCCCACCCCAACCTCCCCCCTCAACCGCACCAAAAAAAACGGAAAAGATTGAGTTCAAACACAAAAAACACAAAAAAATGGAGTTCGTCCCACGGGCGGCTGTGGGCGGTGGTCCAACTGCACAGGTTCGCCTAAGGCATTGGAAGATCAGTCAGTTCCCTGGCCGACCTCAAATATCTCCTTTCGAGCTTTGACCATGGTACCTCTGTCCAAGTTTCTTCAAGGGCTCCTACTCCTCGGCTCATTTGGGCCTGTGTCAAACTACGGGAACCCAACCATGGTCGGCTTCCTTTTGGCTTCCCTTCCCAAAACGAAAATGCTGGCCAGGAAAAGGTAAAACTCCAACTGGCAGCCCCTCTTGTCGAGGAGCTCCATCTAATGGCCCGTATCCTTAGCGGAAGCCTTAGCGTTCCCTTCCTCCCATATTTCATGACCCCTACAGCCACGGCTTCTCCAAACCTTCGCTCAGGTCACGGCTGCGGTAGTCCTCCAGACCTTCGCTGGAAAAGGAGTCCGCCAGGCAGCGCCTCAGGTTTTTCTCGGGGCTTCCCGTATCACATACCTGCTGTGGAGGACTGCGACATCCAGAAATCACACCACCTACTGAACCCATGGCTAGAAATCACACCACTTAATGAACCCATGGTTGAAACCATTTAACGTTTGTTGGTAATAACAGGGGAATCGTCATTCCAGGGTTGAAATTAGATGTCGCGAAATGGATTTCGCCCATCCACAGTAGAGACCCTGCCTTGGAAGCAAAACGAGTTCCAGGGACCATAACCCTCTTGCACGAGCAAAACCACATGGCTGGTTCAAACAGGGGGACAACTCCCAAATCTCGAGCTCCTGCAAAAGGCGTGGTTGCCTTTTTCCCAAGATCAAAGGTCAAGTCAAAGAGCTACCACGCAACCGAAGTGAATTTGGCCAATGCAGCTTCTTTCTTGCCGAGTCTTGGGCAAGAAGTGAGCTGTTGGATGATCAAGCAGTGGAGTTGGTGAGGTTTTAACCTCCTGCACGCACTGGAATGAAGGAATCCCCGGAAAGAACGTCACGGGTGAGCTCGCGTACCCGCTTCTTTCACTCCGCCAATGGAATGGAGAATTCCCCAAGGACCCACACGGAGCTTGTGAACTTGAATCAGATTTGCGCAGGCGTCCAGAAAGCACCAACCCCCAACCGCATCTGGCTTGCTGAGCAAAGCACTTTTGCTTGCCCCCTTCCCTTCGGACTCTCTCAAAAATAAAAAAATCACCCCAGAGTTCGGCAGAAGGAAACCACAACGAACCTATCCAATTCCCAACACACCTCGCTTCGGCGGTTTTTTCCCGACATGTCCACTGGGGTTCCCCGGCCGAAGCCGGCGCACGCCGCGGCGCAGCACGGCCAGCGCCGGGCCGTCCAAAGCGCCCCAGGCCTCGAGCTGCTCCGCCGCCGCCGCCGCCGCCGCCGCCGCCTCGCGAGCGAGGCGTAACCCAGGCTGAGTCAAACTCCTGGGCCGTGGTCGGCGTCGGGCCACCCAGTCACGTCGAACCATATGGGTGGCTTGGCTTTTTCCCAATCTGGCCCTTTTGGTGATTTTAGAAAGAGAACTGTTCAAGAAGAATGCTACCATGCTTTTTGGGGGGGTCCTCTAACAACGACAGACCCATAAAAGTGAAAGTACAAAGCTGCTGATACCCGCCGAGGTTTCAAATGGCACGCCATCGGCCAACATTCTTCTGAAACAGAACCCGCCAAAGCCAGGACCGCCCTTCACCAAAGGTTGGCAATTTGACCGCACTGTCGTTATTTTGGCCCAGGGCTTTTAAAGGTTCATCCTAAACGCGGGGCTCAACCAACAAGAGCCAAGCAAAACCCTCCAGAGAATACAACAAGCCCAAGGAGCATCCCGGAAGCCTCTAAAAGAAAAAAAGTGACCCCGCAGAATTCACGAACAACGAACCTCCAGAAAAACTGACCCCGCCGGAGTAAAAACAAAAAAATCGGACCCGGCTGCCGCTCTCGGCGCACCCGGCGCCTTGCCGCAGTCATATGCCGTGCCCAAACCTCGCCGCGCCGCAGCCAGGAGCGCTGGAAGAGGCGCGGCAGACTGCCTGGGTAGCGAGCGCGGAAAGGGATTTATCGTGGAGGCTGGGGAAACACAAGCGCCCCTTTTGGGGCTTTGGGGCTTTGAACGGCCCTTATGGAAGAAAGAAAAAAAGCAGGCAGGCCACTCCAAAAATTACAGAACCCTGAAAGCTACCCGGAAATTTCCCTCGTTTCACAACGCAACAGCCACCTGGAACCTCCAGCAAAATCTCCACTCCAACAGCCAACAACCGCTCCATGCCATTCAAGGGGAAGGGTAAAACCCTGTTTGCCAACCGCAACACGTGTTTCTTGGACCCATAAACCAAAGAGTAGAGCAAACACCCGGTTTGCTGGAAAAAACGAAGAACAAAAAAAACATGGTTTAAGACCCGAGAGAAGCAAAAAACCCGACGCCTTTGGCGTTTTGAGCTCTTCTCGCGCCAGGGAGCGCCGCCTGCAGCGCCACCACCGCCAGGCCCAGCTCGTTTCGCCGAAGCAGCGCCACCGCCCAGCGCCAGGCGCCGGCGGCCTGGCGACCGCGCTTGGCGTCGACCGCTTGGCGCTGGCGACCGCGTCGCTTGGCGCGTCGGTGGTGTGGAAAGACGTCAGCTGCCCTCCCACCAATCAACACGGAACCGTTCGATGTGCTTCTTGGCGTTGCTGGTCCAGGGTTTGGAGCATTTTCGTGTTGGAGCGTCAGGTTCCATGAGGTTCCATGTTGATTGGAGGGTACCAAGCATAGTGACCATGCCAAAAAGCAAGCAACAAAAACAAAAGAAAGACAGGACAGGGACAAACAAACATCAAAAATAGCGTCATGCACGCTGACCACCTCCCTACTTCGTTCTGGTGGATAGCGTGATCATGGACCTACTCCACGAAAACAACAGAACGAGTAGAACCGCAAATCTTATCTAGCTATATCTATATACGTGTATATATATATATGTATATATGGTACGCCCCCCCCCCTGGTGCCTAGGTTTTGCTTGATTTTAACCACCTGTTTCAAGACTTTTTGTATTTTTTTGGCCAAACTTGGGCACCAAGGAAGGGGTGTGTGTGCCACAATTCTACAATTTAGAATGCTGGATCCAAGATTGCTGGGAGACTTTCAATGTGACAATCTGGAATTCAAGATTCAAGATGCAAGCTTTCAAAACAATCTTTTCTGGAATTCTGGGATATTGAGTCTTGCTTCCCATATTTGTTTTAAACAAAAAAATAATTTAAAAAAAAAATATGGGATTCAAGATTCAAGATTTCAAAATAATATGTTTCTGGAAATCTTGAATCTTGAATCCCAGATTTAAAAAAAAAAGCAAGATTCAAGATTCAAAATTTGGAAATAATATTGTTCTGGAAATCTTGAATCTAGGGGTTCTAGGGGAATACTAGGGCAATACTAGGAGAAAAGTAGGGGAATACTGGAATTCTAGGGGAATACTGGGGGAATACTAGGGGAATACTAGCAAACCACTCAGGGAAATTTACGGGAATACTAAAGGAGAATACGAGGAGAATACGGGAATACTGAGGAAATACTAGGGGAGTATTAAGGGAATGTTGCCAGATTTTAATCATCTGCTTCTTGCCATGATGGACTGCAAGCCCATTCGTCTGTGCTCAAAATCTATTGCAAACAAGTCTAAACTCTACAACCTGCGTGCTCAAATCAAGCAAAACCTAGGCACCAGGGGGGGGGCGTAGCATATATATATATATATATCGATAATATCGATGTCATAAAGCTTGTCACCACATGCTTCTGCACCCACTACCAGACCATCCGTCAAAATTGCAGCTTCAGAAAGAGCAAACTGTTCATCTACGGTGCCATTGTGGATGACCTCAAGGTCCATGTAACAACTCCTAAAGGAGCGCTTCGTGCTGACTGTCCCTCACTAGCCTTCGTCTACCCCGGTTTTGATTTTTTACTCAAACTTTGGGGGTTCGAACAGGATTTCTTTCAGATGCTACACACATGAGTGTCCTTCGATACAAACTGGAACCCGTTTATTCGAGCCCATGCCCCTGATCAGTGTTCCTTTTAGCATCACCCTCTCTTTTCTGGAAAAACTCACTCTTCACCTGGCCCATGGCGATACACAACACAAGGCAGGAAAGGCAACCATGTCCAAGACAACCCATCTGGGAGTTGCTCAAAATGGTCCCCCCTTTTACTTTTGTTGTAGACCCAGTCATCGGGTTCCATTGTGTGACTCATGTGCCCGATTTGTTGAGAGGATCCGCAGGGGAGAATTTTGCAATGGGCTCCTTGTGATTTATCATCCCTCAATTAGAAAACCGAAAATTGGTTGCGTAAAGTGGAATTGACAAATGTTGCCCCTGATTTCAGAAAACTTGTCCATGTGTCCTTTGACCTAGTGACTTGGGATGTCTGGTTTCAAAAGAGTTGGGGGGTCCGGGTGTTTTTAAATCTCCCAACTTGGGATTTGTCCTCAACTCACATCCAGCAGAATGAAGAAAAAGCACCTTTTTGTTGGGCTGGTTGGAGTTTTAGGAGAAGCCTTTTTCCAAAAGAAGTCGAGAAAAAGGAACAGCCGCACCGCAACTGCGCAACAGACTCCAAGTCGGCCTGGCAGGCCCTCGCGGCAGCCTCTGGCGCCACCGGGTCCTGGGGTTGCAACTTCAACAGGTCTTAGGTTGGGAGGTTTTAGGATTTTTGGGCCTGTCGCTTTGGTTGAAGAGGTTGCGGGTGGCGGGTAACTGGAGAAACCGGTACCCGTTTTACAAACACGGCAAAATGCAGCTGGCAAAGACTCTACAGCAGCCAGAGCTGTGGCGCAGTGGCAGCGCACTGCCCTGCAATCTTCGCAGAGCGGAGGTCGGAGGTTCAAATCCTTCCAGCTCTACTCAGCTTGACCAAGAATCAAATGAGGATTTTTGGACTCGCGCGTTTCTTCGTGAATGTCCACCAACAACCCCCAGTGCACAAGCCAGTATTTCCCTCAATATCCGATTGTTCTGTCGTGTTCGCCTCTCTGAGTACGGATGCGAGGCCAAACAGAGCCCTGCGCCAGCGCCAGCTCCGCCCCACTGCGCTCAGCGACGCGCAGAGCAACGCCTTGATCGATTTACAAAACCACAAAAAAATGGGCTTGTTTACCAAGAGAAGTGTAGCGTTCTGGTTTGCTGATGGTGTTCAAATTAAACTGGTGATTAGCAAACAAAGTTAACCAAAAAGACCTTCGGTAAACCATCAGAAGAAGTGCTTCGCCCCTTGGGTTCCCCAAAAAGCTCAGCTTTTGCTGAGGCTTGCCACCGAGATTGGCAAAAACAAGAATACAAGTTTAGCCGAATACAGCTCAAGTTTTCCGGCGGCTCAACCCTCCTTCTTCATGGAATTGGCCCGACGGGTCCATCTCCTGCTTGAGCTTGACACTGGTTTAAACTGGTTGCCAACCGTTGGAAACAACCAACCTTGGTTTAAACTGCTGCTAAACATCCCCATGGTGTTTTTGTTTCACTCATAGAGCACCTTGCGCCCAAGCATTGTTGTTCTCTTTTAGCAGAGTGGTTTTAGACGGGAACCTAAACGGATTAGTGATGTATCCCTATGTTTCCCTTTCAACACCCCTGGGTGGTGTCAGTTCCAAATAAAACGCTGAACACTGGCAGAATGTTTTGGGTTCAGATTAATGCGGCCAGAAGTCCTGCAGCTTGGCGAAAACGGTGAGCCGACGTTTGGGAGATGTCTGACTCGGGTTGACTTTGACTTACCCTCCCACCAACTAACATGGAAGTTCAAAAAGGCCCTTTCCAAGAGGAAAGTAGTCTTTCTACAGGGGTCTATGCACCGTGAAATGTAACACCATTCAAGAAAGAGTCCGGACGACTCTTGTTCAGTGGCTCATATATGGGTGTCTCCAAGTGAGGGAGACCCCCAAAAGCTAGGAGGGCACCCCCGTTTCAACCCACAAAAACAGGGCACCCCATCTCTTACTCGCATCATTGCGCAAAGCAAAGACCCATCCACCAGCTCCACCCGGCACCCAGCCCGCCATTGCGAGCCCAGCGCCGCGTCCGGGCGGAGCCCAGACCGGAGCCGGCGCAGCGCCTGCTCCGCAGCCTCCCACCTGAAACACCGAGCTTTCCGGATCAAGGGGTGTATCCCCACTTCTGTGAAATCCCCTCTTCATATGCGGGTTCGTCTTTGGGAGGCCCACTGCGAAAGGGAATCCCCTCTTGATATGCGGGTTAGTCTTTGGGAGGGCCCTTTTTGCTGTATCGCAGTAGTGATCTCCCACAGCCGTGCCCTGATCGGTTTGGCTTGGTGTCGACAACAAACAGACCTTCCTTGGGTCCTTACTAAGATAGCATCCACCCCAAAAACTAGGGGAATAATTGAACAGCCGCGCTGTGGGTAGCCCCCTTTTGTGCTGAAGCTTTCTTTTTGCATACTCGCTCCCGCCAGCTCCCCCTTTAAGGTTTGGGTTGTTTTTCCATGTTGTTTTTCTCTTTTTTTCTGTTGCTCTTGGGCGGAACACCCCTCTTGCAAGCCCAATCCAAAATTGGAATTCATGCTAGGAGAAGGGGGTCTTATATTTATCCACATGAACATGACCCAAAAAAAAAGTCGTTCTGCGTTCGGTTTTGTAAAAGGCCACCTATGGTCGCAGGGAACGACCTCCTCTCCCAGCCTTAGCTTCTTGGGGTTTAGGGAGGGTTTCCATTTGCATTGAACTTTTTAGCAGTGCTGATGCATGGTTGCGAAATCCGAACTCGCACCACGACATGAATATAGGGTTGTTGGGAATTGCAAGGGGGGGTGGTCGAAGCATTCCAGGGTCTCTTCAGGTGGCGCGAAATGGTTTTCGTCCATCCACAGTATGAAGCACCCTCCCTGTCTGTGATTTCCTTTAAGATCCTCTTCCGGTTCATTCAAAAAATCCCTATTGATTCCCTGTGACAGACGAACTCATTTTCCCATGTCCTCGCCAAAGGCTGACGGAAAGGTGCGCCGTTCGGGATCTCCTCAAAGGAAGCCACTTGTGGGCTTTGTTTGTAGGGTTCCCTTTAAAGGATTTGGCCATTGGAAGCATGTCACCTATTCCGGAAAATAGATGGCTCTGGCAAATGGAATACAACCCCTCCAAACCAGTGAAACCCATCTATTTTTAGCCAAACTAAGCACCATCCAAACCAGTGCCATCCAAACAAAGCCCCCCAAGCCCCCTCCGCCCCGAGAGCTCCCGGCCTGGCCACCTGCTCCAGCGCCATCACCTCCGCCCCCGCCGCCGCGAGGTCCAGCTGAAGCCCGGCCTCCCGCGCCTGACGACTCGCGATGTCCCATGCGATTGGAAGATCCAGAGGGGGCCAAGCAGCTTCCCAGTCAGCTTCCCTCCAATTGGTGTGGCTTGGTGATTTGGATTCGTGGTTTGGTGAATAAGGAGGGGTTCCAATTGGTGTGGTTTGGTGAATAGGAACGGGTTCCCATTTACCCTCTACAACCAGGGGTTCAAATCCCAAACCGCCAATCCAAACCACCAGTTAAGGGAACCTGACCCAAGGGGAGCCAACCATGTGTAACATAAAACACTTCCTCGATTTAGTGTCCAACTAGTGTCTGTATGTTGATTGGGTTTTTGCGAGTGTCTTGGATACTTGACAACTACGCGTTGTTTTTTCGGAGTTGGGGGTTGTTTTGCAAAGATTCAAGCAGGACACAACCCTGAAGGGCTATCTTACCACATTCCCATGCTCGATTGGCTCCTACACCTTCAGCCGAAACCGTGTGGTTCTTTTTGCGAGCCTTAGCGTCAACGGCACCGTCCCAAAAGGGGCCAGTGTCCTGGTAAGCTTCGACTCGGCCTCAAGTCCGGAGTTTGGTCTTCCGAAGGTCGCACCATACGTGGCGAAAATTTGGCAAGGAGGAGTCATTGTCGACCCCTCAATCAACCTTGTACATTGATACAAATGAACCCCCCAGTGATCCGCCCCTGGCTCAATCAACCAGAGTTCTACCCACTCGTGTTCTAGCCCCATCGATCACCAAGCTTCTGGAAACAGTGGGAATTAGCCCCCTTAAAGATTCAGAGGTATGTTTTTTTGAGGGTACCCTTTTGCGGTAGGTTTTAAAGCCAAAAAGGAAAACCACTAAAAAACAATGGGGGGACCCTGTTTGCAGACCCCCTCCCCTTTTTGAAGTTCGGAAATGGCGTCCTACGGCCGCGTGGCCGCGCCTCCGCCAGGAGCTGGGCGCAATTTGGCCACTGCCGCGCCCGCGCGCAGGCGGCCACCGCGCTGCTGCAGGCCACCAGGTCCTAGCGGAGCGCCAAAACCCGAGATTGGCTTGGAGACCTGGGCGTGGGCGCAAAGGAAGTTGTTTGGTTGGTCGAGACAGTTTCCTTTTTCTTGGCTGCTCCTACTTTGACTTTCGGCTGGCTTCTTGGTCAGCTTGATACTCTCTTGAACTCGTGGGAAAGCGTTGTCCAGAGAACAATTCATGAGCCGTCAGTGCTTCCAACCGAAAAGTTGGACTGCCCCTCCTGGTTGGTTGAACTGACGCCTTGCCAGAGATTGCTCGCGCCTTTGCCAGAGATTGCTCGTAAGCGGACGAACCATCATTTGCAACTTCTTGCCAAGAGGGTGTCTCCAACTGGTGACCCCCACCCCCTTTTCATTTGGTGTGTAGAAAAACAAAATGGAAACACTTGCAGGTGTTAAGAACCAAAAAAGTCTTGCGGTCCAACCAGGTCTCCTACTGTTGCTCTTCGAAGCAACAAAAACAAGACTGCTTCAAGGACCCGGTCGACACAAGGGTGGAAATCTGGTTTTTCATGGGGGGAAACTCAAGGAAGGTCATCCTTCGAGGTTTTGGAAGCTTCTTCATGAAGACATGTGCAGCCTGCCGGTAACAAGTGTTCATGACCGAAAACGGCGACCTGCATACAATCTGCTTGCGGGCGCTGGGCTCCAACCCGCCCAACGGCGTTGCAAGCTTGAAATGGTAGCGCCTGCAAGCTGAGCGAACGCGCCCTTTTCATAGCTTGAGCCATTAGTCGGGCCGAAGCACCGTTCGCCAGTCCTTCTTCCCATACGACGTTTGCTTGCAAATGCCCAACCATGGACTTCGTCAGACGGCAGCATGGCTGGCGTCTGTGAAGGATACAAACTCCGCAGCCTCGAACTTCGAGGCGTGTGCCTCATCTTCTGCTTTCAAGTCTTCCAGCAACAGCTTGTTGCACATCACCAGGTCGCCCACCGTGGCTCGGCTCTGCGTCGAGTGCATCTTGTTCATCACGCAACCAACTCAAGCTGCCAACTGCCGATCTCAAGGTCTCCGTGAGCCTTCACTGGCACCTGCCGCGCCAGCTCGAAACCGGCAACCGAAGTGCGAGAGGTCTTCTTCATCTCGTCTTCTCCGATGCCCTTCTCCTGCTCCATCTTGAGCCGGATCCGGAAGCTGCTCTCGCTGAGCTGTGTGGGCTCAGCGCTGAACCGCGGCATACCCTTGTCACAGGACTCGAAGTCGCCGAAGCCGCTGTCCACGAACTTCGACCATCTCAAGCCAGAAGCGCAATTGCTCCTGCTACGGAGGTTGCAGGCCCACCAATTTGAAGTGGTAGCGCCTACAAGCCGAACTGAGCACGCCCTTTTCGTAGCTTGAGCCATGAGTCGGGCCGAAGCATCGTTCAGGGAATTCGGGGGACCTTCGGCGGCTTGGGGCTCCATGCTCTTCACAGCAAGCGGCATCTCCGACGCTCTGCCGGAAGAGGGACAAAGCCGCCAGCCAGCCTCGACGCGAGGCCGTCCGCTGAATATCTGTGTGCCTGCTCGAAAGGGAACAAACACTCGTTTGGGGTCCTATTTTGACACAGACCAAGTTGGTTCGTAGATCGAACCTAGCTGAGTGGCCGGCAACTCCCAGTTGAGCCCTAGTCCGCCTCCCCTCTACATCACTGTGACCGGGGTTGCTCACCGATTAGCTACCCCAGAAACATCTGGCTGTGGGTCAAAACCAACGGGATCCCATTTTGGGGATTGGGTGCACCACCCATTTTAGAACCTGTTTTAGTGGGGATTGGGATGTTCACCGGGGGTACGGGATCTTGACCCATGGCCATCTCAGTTGGTTTGTCTGTCTCCAAATTCCAAACCACACGCAAGGAGCCGGAAGGCTCCTTGCCTGCTGCAAGCACCTATTTCAGGGATAAACATCCAGAGTTTGGATTGTCCCCCTCGTCTAAGACTCCAGGCCCCTGGCGACTCCAACATCGTGTGCTTTAGATTCAGCTTCCTTCTTTCCAAAAGGTCATCGTTCGCCACTCGAACAGGGGAGTGTTGAAGGACACCTCTAACAATCTGGGCAACTCACAATTCCTTCATGGGCGAGCTCGTACCCCTCGGTGTCACACAAAAACAACTCCACAGATTCTCATATTTCGTGGGAAAACCCGCGTGTCACGGGTTGGGCTAAGGGCCTGTGGGGGGGACACCCCTCCCTCAGCCATCCTTTGCCCCGAGGCGCACCAAGCCGCGCCGGCGCTGGCAATGGCTGCATTGCGGCCCTTCCTGCAATGCGAAACGCCTAAAGTCCGAAACCACAAATACTTGGATAGCTTGCCCCCTGATGCCATCCAGAGCCACCTGGAGGTCCTGAATGTTTAGATCGTCCTAGCTTCTCGGCCGAACTGGGTTCAGATAATCCGTTCTTAATTAGTCAGGTCATTGTGGCCAAGCACCCAGTGCCATTGGAAAAGATGGGCACCTGTCTTGAAGTGAAAAAAGAAAACTCAAACAGAAGAAGACAAAGGGCATTTCTGCCTGCCGCGTGGCCCACCTCAAGCACAAACGCGACTTGCCACAGCCCTCCTTCAGCGAAAAACCCGTCTGCACTGAGGGCACAAGTCAGCCAACGTGTGAACAAACAATATCCGACTGCTTCCCTCAAAGGGACATGGCAATATTAGAGGTGATTTGGCACCTGGCTTTTTGCGGATGAAGTGGGCCAGTGTCCCCTTATTGCCCTCTCCGACAACGAACAACCAGTGAAATATGGTTCGTTGCTCCTTTACGTTGCTGTCAGCGCCACTCCCCTCCTGCGAAGCTCGCAAAGTCTTGGATCCGTCTCCTCCGTGTCCTGCCCGGAGCGATGGACCGCCAAGTCGCATGCTGTGTCTATTGCTTACATGATGGTGCCTCAGTTTGCTGCCACATTGCGGCTGTTGTAAAAATCAACACTTCTACAAACCTAGAAAAGACTGTAGTCGTTCCGGCCTGGTGTACTGGCTCTATACTAATCTGTGAGTCCCCCTGGATTGGGTCTGGTTTTTGTGGCCCTATGTCCTTCCCAACTTCCAGTAATGTTGGTCAGTTCGTTTGGGTTTCTCTGAAGGAACCCCCCTTTCGTTTCCCGTGAAAACACTCACAAAACAGGCATTTGTTTCTCCAGTTTTGAGGATCCCAATTCCTACTTTACATAAACAGATCCACGTAAGGAGGGAACTAACAAGAGAAAACACATTTGGCTCCCGTACTGGGAATCTCTTTATTCGTTGTCTCAGTTCCTTAATCATAAAGGTTGGCTGCGGACACCAGTGACACCAGCAAGCTAAAAGGGTATCCCAAAAAAACATGCCCCCCAAAAAAAGAAAAAGAAAACGAAAACCCCACGCCTTCGGCTGGCCGGCTGAACAGAGTCCTGAAAGAGCAGCGCCTGTAGCTCCACGGCCGCTTGCCACCGCCGCTGGCTCTTGCAGTGCAAGACGCAGGCCTTAAGTTCCGAAACTCTAGGCGTTGATTCCCCATGTTGTTCCACCATCGTTCTTTTCAAAAATAATCAAAAGAGCAAGAAACCCCAAACGCGCGCCGAAGGCTGCGCCCTGAACAAAAAGAGGTGGATTGACCGTGGTTAATCCCTCAGCGGTTCAGGGGGTGGTTCCTAGACTCTCGTTCCGCACTCAGCGCTGTTTCTCTTGATGTGCGCTTGAGCCAAACGGCGTTTGCCGTTCGACAAGTCTGTCATGACATGCAACCCTCAACCTAAACCAAAGTGGCCTCAAGCAAACCTCACATCAGTGACCACACAACTAGGCAAGTTACCATGCCTTTGGGGGCTAAGGGGTCGTTATTTCTTGACTCCCCCCTCGCCGTGCGCACTAAGGCAGGGTAAGCTTTTGTTTTGGAGCGCGATACGCTGCTCCCGGACATCAAGGCTTTACAAGGATGAAGGATATTTTGGCACTCTTAGTACTCACAGCACTACCTTCGGGATGACTTTCTACTTTTTGATGTTGAATCGAGTATCTTCTAGCTCTTCTGGGAGATCTGTGCGCATTCCCAGGAGCCTCAAGGCGTGATCCCACTTATGCGGAGGCAAAGCCTTGGTAAAGATATCGGCAGCTTGGAAATCGGTCTTCACGTATTCAAGCTCTACTCCAGTGCCTTCCTGTAACTGTTCTGCAAGGGATGCTAGGTTAACCCTATGTGTCCTAGAAATTGCACGTAGCTTGATTGTCTTCATGGATCCTTAGGGTCATTGGGCGACCCAATAGTCGATCCCACAGACTAAGTGTCGGGAGTCCCTCCTGATACAAAGAAAATGCTAACGACACAATCTCTGCTTCTGTAGTGGAACGCGACACAGAAGTCTGGCGCTTGCTAATCCATGCTAAGGGGAAGTGGGAATTCGGGCCTTTCAGGGCGAGAAACCCCCCTGACGTGGACTTGGCCCCCTCTTCTCCTGCAAAGTCAGCGTCGACGTAGAGCGCAAGATGCAGCTCTCTGGGATCGTCTTGAACTGTGCCAACCAACCTGTGCGTTGTGGTCGTGTTAATGTAAGCTATTAGCCTAGCCAATTGCCTATCATTATTACGCGACCATTTTTGAACGCACGTTGCAAGATCCCCGATGGGCTTGATTATGTCTGGACGTGCAAGACGTCCCAACCACAAGGCCTTCATCAAGATTTTACAAGCGGCTGAGCTCAATTCACCTGCTTCGGCATCATCTTGTGTTGGCAATGACCCTTCCGGACAGAATGGGGTCAATGCCTTGCGGAGTTTACTAATCGGCTGACCTGAAATGGAGACATACAAATCTACAGTTTGCTTGGCATAGTCAACCATATCAAAAGCCATTGCGTTGGACAGCGCGCCAAAGGCTGCGCTCTCGGCTGGATTAGGCTCACACTTCGGGGCGTTAATGATGACATGATTCCTTCCCAAAACACGATATATCGGTTCTGGGGGTTCAATATCAACACATGACATCAGCTTTTCCCAAAAGGGACCATGCTGCTCTGCCGGCCCTGAAAGTGTTAGATCATCCACATAAGTGGATAGCATTAAGCCGGTTGAGGGGAAGTAAAAGTTTCCTGGAAATTCTTGGATTTCCTCTCCGGTCTGCTCCTTCAAGATCTTCTTGAAGTGCTGCTCCCAGAGCCCCCCCGCGTCGGGGTGACCGTAGAGTGCTTTTACTAGAAGGACTACCGGTTTTATAAACTTTTCTTTCCACCACTTCGGACGAAGTTCCGGCGGCAACGATATCCACGTCTGATGTTGAGATCGAAGTAGGGCCTGGATATATGCCTTTACGGCGTCTGCCGCCGTGGTTTTGTGACCTGGCAGTGAGCCGTATGCAAGGCAGTTGTTCAAACCCTGGACGGACGTAGGGTTGGCGCCGAGTTCTTGATAAACGGCCGCCGCCCCATATTCGTCCCGCGCACAGTCCCCTCGGTATACTATACGCCCCTTCATTTTCTGCAGATGCTTTGCTAGCTCAAAGAATTTGATGGAGGCGATGGTCATTAGTTGACCGAAGTGGACTTTAGTGTGCGTCCGTCGCGCTTCAGCAGCGACCTCTCCTTGCTCTCTCACGGTGCTGAGATCCCAAACTCCCGCATTACTTAAGCCGTCTGCTTCTTCCTTTACGGCCTGCAATGCCTCGGACGAGGCAAGCATCTCTGAACGTGAAAGAAGTTTTGTGACCATGGCGGCTATGTCGGGAGAAGTCTCCTGCTTTGTAATTCCCTGAATTTCCCTAACGAGGTTATCCAAGTCAAAGAGTTCTTCAAAGAATCTGCGGGATGTTGGATCTGATTCAACCACTGACGCGAGAGCCCCAACACCCGAAAGTGCGGAGGTATGCTTCAAGGACTGCTCCTTTTCCCGATGCTCCTCTTGCACGGTGACAGCCTGGACTGGCATTGCAGGCGCGCATGGTGCTGCGACATGCGGGTATAACGCACTAGCGATTATCTTACACATCTCTTGTGGGTAAAAGGCGGTGCGTGCAGTGTTGCTACCTGCGGCCTGTGCGTGCTTGAAGGAGTGCTGGTGGGGGCATGTCCTATTCTGGAACCCATCATGAAGTTCCTTGGATGTGGTCATGAGACGCCACGGCTTCTTGATGGGAGTCCCTTCCTTGTCAGTAAGACCTACTGCACACCCGTGCAAAGTCACTGAGTGGAAGCGAGACGCATGCTTCTCGAAGAATGCCTTTACGTCGGGGCGCTCCCATCCCTCGCAGTCGCGAGGCCACTCGAAAGTGACGTGACCCTCTTGTTCTATCACCACTTCGGCGTGCTTTGTGAACCTTGCGAACAACGCCTCCGACCTTTTAACCTGTGCACGGAGATACTGCTTGTATTTATTGCCATACCTATGGACATTTAGCCTTTGCCATGGCGACCCGGAGGTGCACGGAATGGCCGCCCACATGTTAGGCTTGCTACAAGACTGCAACTGAGCGGTCAGTTGCTCATCCCCTTCATTGGTTTCAAGATCGATGTGTTCTTTAGCCAGTCTCACGTGGGGAATGCCTAATGCTTGATGCACTGCTCCCATGGTGGAGTCACTTGAACATGCATACTCAAACATTACAGGCATAGAATTTCCCCGCGCGATACGCTTGCGGGCCCTCTTATTCCCTACGGAAAACTTTTTGCATGGCTCCTTTTTGGAACATGGCATGCCGAACACAGGCAGAGTCCGAGCCTCCCTCTTGGTGAAGGAGTCGGCTACGTGGCACGTGAGTGACGTGGAGGTTGCAGTGGTTGTTGTTACCGCCGCGCCAGTTGTGGCTGCAGGCGGCGCGGTTGGCGGAATCCCCCCTGGCCGAGACGGAGCTGGCTTGCCGCGAAGAGCATCATCATGTTCTTCGGATGCCCTTAGTGCTTTCTCGAGCTCATCGGGATCAGATAGATCTGCCTTTTCAAGGCGGGAAAGCTCAAGTGCCTTTTTAAGGTCGGCATCGCCTTCTTCGAGACGTGCCCCCTTGGCTGTATGAACTGGGTCAATCGCTTCGGAGGGGCGAAGTGACCGCTCTACCTCGACGGCAGCCGAGCGCTTGGAGCGCTCCTCGGCTTTCTCCGTATCGACCAGCCTCGCAAAGCGACGTCGACATTCGGGGGTATGGTACCGGGTGCGCCCGGTACAACCTCGACAACCTGGTGTTTCACGGAACCGGATTATCCGATCCACAGTGATGTACACGCCTCGCGGCGTGCCTGGAGCGGGAGTCGGCGGTGCAGCTACCTCGCTAAACGGAACCTCTTTAAGAGCGACTTCTGGGAGTTCACCCTCGGCTTCCCCCGTCCGCAGCGCCTTGTGGGCTGCTGCCGCAACGGGGAAACAAGGCTCGCCTTCTTCAACGAAGAGTTCTGCCTCCGGGACATCATGCACTACAATCGCTCGACGAGTCCTAAATTCTTGATAATCTAGGACCTTGACCACATGGCGATACCGAAGGCCTGCGTCAACCCTCCAGCCCAAAAACAAAGCAGGTGCCAAGTTGGGTTCTAGAGTGCGCTTATTAATGCCCTTTTTACGGTAATAGACAAGCTGACCAAAGCAATGCCTAATGCCATCGAACTTCGACTTTGTCAAGGCTTCCCATTGGGTCTTAGCCTTGTCGAATGTTGCAGGTCTGTCGAATGACATGGAGAGACATGCGAAGGGATAGGAGTGAGTGTGTAGATCGTACGGCAACCCACTCTGAAGGTGGATGGATCTGCAACATTCCTTTTCTTCCCTAATATCCCTTTCCAGCTCAGCATTATGGGGCCATCGATTCGGCAACGAGGTTTCGGGTGTCAGGCCGACCTCATGTGCTGCCGCTTCGAGTTCCCCCGCTTCATCCATTTTGATTAGACATGTCGGAGCAAGCTCGTTAGCTTTCAAACCTAGGAAGTGCCTTAGATTTTTGGAATGGGCTGCTGTGTCCCTTTTGGATACAGGATATGCAATCCTTGCTCCAGAGAAAACATCCCTGATGACGTGGTGAGATTTAATCCCTCCGATTCCAATGCCCGCATGTTCATCTCCTTTCGCAAGGATGACACTGTCAGTAGCGAGCTGTTGAAACGGGGCAGTAGGATTATCAATCCCGTCATCGGCACGACCATCGGGTTTGCGAGCAACACGTGCTGCGGTGTTCTTAGCAATCGCACATATCCGACAGAATGGATTCTTTGGGAAGTGTGATCGAAGGTGCTCGGGAGAGTTGGCTGCTGCCCGGAGTACCCTCTCATCGCTTGGCTCGCCATCGGCTAGCTCTGCAAGCGGCACCTCATCGTCCCGGTGTGGTGGGACTGGCGGTGCTTCTGGCGGTGGGGTCGGAGGAGGTTCTGCTTCGAAGAGTTCCCCATCTGCAACGGAAACGGCATCGTCTCCATCCACCGCCGCGCCTGGACTGGCTGCGGCCTCGACGGGCTGTAGATTGGATGGCTGATCAGCAAGCTTTGGGATGACGCTTTCGTCATACTGGGGCACA